CCAAACATTAATCAAATAGGAACAATTTCACTCAAAGTATACCTAGACACAGGAGAACTATTGTTGTGAAAGTGTTGTACAGTCGATTACAAATTTAGATTGCAGAGAGTTTGTTCTGAGCGCTAAAGGCACTCACGATGGAGCACATTTTGCTTTATTCTTACATTCAATCACAAAAGGCAACAAAACAAATTTATGTCAAGAACAGCACCGCCTTATCTACAACGGAGTGAGTGATTTGTTGACAATGGGACGTTCTTCATCCGGTGGTGGAAGAGGATGTGTGACTCCTCAGAAAGTCAAGAGCAATTCGAGTTCAACAGTTGTGAAACATCTATTTTCAACAAAAGATGAAAACAATGGAAAGGCAAGATTGTTGTACAAAGATGCCAAAGAAAGAGTAATTGATTATATCCAAGCTTCTGGAATGAAATGTTCTGAAGACATGGTGAAATCAATTTGAGATGGAAAGTTGATCAACTTCAATGCAATTGCTCCAAGATTGAACGCTCCAACTCAAACTGAAGCTGTTGCAAGAGAAACAGAGATGGCCCAAAACAAGATTCTCTATTCTGCAAAGCTCGACAAGAACATGCGGAGATCAGCCTACTTCGAGACAAATAAGAGAAGCGTCAAATCAAACATCATGCTGAAGTTTGTGACGCAGGCGATGGATATCAAGCTTCAATGTGAAGCCGATTTCACAACTACTCTTGAAGATCCGATCAAATTCTTGAAACGTATTGAACAATTCATGAAGAAGAGTGCTGATGCTGAGTATGATTCTGCAGTCAAGATAAAAGCGCATGCTGCTATTGCTAGAACCTATACTGCTGCTCAAGACAAGTTCAAGGATGATATCTTTGAAGCCGTTCTTACAACAGGATTTCTGTGCAACTGCAATCAAACAAGAACAGCTCCTCTGATGCTGGATCTTCAGACAAACTATTGCAGGGAAGTGGCTTATGATCCAAATACGGTCAGCAAAGCACAAGATACGTTCAAGATTCACATGGATGTGATTAAAACCTGTACCAAGGAAAAGACCAACGTAATAAAGGTAAAGGTAAAGGAAAAGGAAAGGGGAAACCAAAGGATCTATGGAAAGAAGGCAGCATCTTATGTGTGTGGCAACAAAGACCATATCAAAGACCATATGTCTCCAAAATGCCCAGACAGACTGCTACCGAAGATCCAATGGAAGAATCAGGATCAATATGTTGACTATGGGAAGAAGCATTCTTAATCAGATTGGAGCAACTGTCCCAGCTGCTACTTCTTCATCAAGAAGTGGAGCATTGAGTGTTGCAGGAAGCATTAACACACCTTTGCGACTTGCTGGTACTACATGTAATCAAATGATGCAAGTTCCTGTTTAAAGTCCGATCATACGTGTGGAAAACTTCGTACTTGAATAGTTTCTTTTTGGAACGTAAAAACTCATATTGCGTCATATCCCAACACACTCCTGCCATTGTGACAATCACCATTGGCAGCAATGGGACATGCTCTCATTCACTGTTTATTTTTGTTTTGTATTTTCATTTGAACATATACATAATTGTCTGACCTATTCTTGTGGACCAAGAATCAGATCCCTGAACTTGCGAAACTTCTCACCTTGCAATGGCTTAGTCATAAAATCCGCAATCATATTGTCAGTTGGACAGTATTTGATCTTAACATTGCCTTTCTCAAATTGATCTGTGATAACATAATAACAAATATTGATAGCTCAGCTTCTTTTGCCCGTGCTCTTGCGACCATTCTCTTCCAGGAAAATTGCGCCTTCATTCTTCTTGATCGGATACCCTTGCCACTCCATGCACAACTTTGTCCATAGTATCATTGTGACAACATTGTCAACAGCAATCAGTTCCGCTTCCGTACTGCTTCTGCTGTTTAGTTTTTGTTTTTTTGACATTACTTGAGCTGCACCTCCTCCAAAGGACAGAGTGCCGCCAGTATGGCTCTTGAAATCTGGATGCACCGCAAATGATGCGTCAGTCATCCATTTTATGACTCATAATTATTCTGCGGAAAGTGTTAGGTGATGCAACATTGTACAAAACAAATATCGCATCATGCAAACACACTTCTTCCAGTCAGATTCTGTAGGCTCTCAAACTCTTGAGGCAAGAATAGTAATCGTTGGATGGATATCCAAACGGGCTCTCTTAGAGACATAAAGTCCCCTTGCAACAGTAGTATGGAAGATCTGACGGTGCTCAGCACTGAGTAGCTTCCCTTTGCCAGCTTCCAGTAAATCGTTACCAGCTGGTGTTTCCTGCTTTGAATCCTTGTTGAATTTGATAGGAAAATCCTCCAACATGTTCTTGACATAGTCGTCAATGCAGATCTTGAGTTTTCCAATCCAATGTCATTCCAAGATATCTGTGTATCTTTCCTCTGATGATTGTGCATGCCTTGATCAAACCATATCTCATGTTCAACCACTTAGCAAATTTGTCATTTACTTTTGGATCCATGTGACTTGACATAAGATCGTCAACATGAAATCTGATAGTTTGCTGTTTGTCATAACAACTTTGTTAGCAACCCACGGGTCATACGGATTGAAAACAAATCCCTTTGCCTCCAAATCACTTCAAAACTGATTATAGAATAGGAGGCTCAATTGTAACATCCCATATATAGCATGTAGTACCTGCACATAGATTACACGCTTTGCGTTGTCTAATACAATGTAATTGCAATAAATGTTATTGTTACGGCGTCACGATGTTGTTGATTTACGCGGTAGTAGCTATGATAGACGGTAGACAGTATTGTAACCAAGTGTATTCTTAGAAAGAGTGTGTTCATTGTTCATCAACAGCTTTCGTAATCAGCCAATTCATCCTTACTACTTACAGACCGCTTACAATTGTACACATTTGTATCAGCACGACGCATCTTGCATCCTATAGCACAGTCACCTTTATTTGGTCCCCTCAAACTGGGTACCAACAATGGAATTCAGTTGGATAATATGACCAGTGCGTCCATTCGCCATACAGGCGTCCCCGTCTTGCCAGGGTCAATTGCTTTGTGAAGGCATCAGCAAGGCTGACATTCCTGGTGTCCATGATACATCAACAACTCCAGCAGCCATGTTCCATCTCATATAATGGTACAAGGTCAATTCAACCTTTGTTGCATTTGTCACCATGCTCTCATTGTCGCAAAATATGTGTGTTGGTTCATCTTCCAAAGGGATTCCAAACATCCCTAACTTGAATCCCAAATGTGTGATGGCCTCAATGCATGCTTTCAAAGCAATGAACTCTGATCCAAAAGTGTTCGCTTCTACTGTATTCTGCCTTTTGCTGTGCCATAATATGGGAGCTTGATTGAGGAAAATCACGGAACTCGTATGTGACTTTTGTGTCTTCTTGTTAGCACCATGAGAAGCATCTACCCATGCGGTACTCCCTACGCTTCGTCCCCTTGGCCTGGGTGCGTTGTGCGGCATTTCCTCTTTTGCGTCTTGGTAGTATGCCTGGAAATCTTCTCTAGAGGACCTCAATTTGGAGTAATCCAAGTTTGGCGCCCTATAATCATAGTACAAGGTCAATTTTGGAAATGTATCCAAGAAAGCAAATATCCTCAATGCTTGTTCCATATGCCCTTCCCTAAGCGCTGCTTGATATTGGCTTAGTAGTGATAATTCCAATAAGATGTCAACTCATCCAATCTCTGTTGCCCATGGTAACATTCCAATCAATTCTTGGAAGTAGATATGATCTCCTTGTCCTAATTTGCTTGATCCATCCATCTCCGGTTTGTAAGCGCTTGTTATTGGTGTTGGCGCGTTCTTGGGTAGTTTCCATTTGGTGTTACCTTTCAGCGTCTCCTTAACGTTCTTGACGGCTGCCACAACATAGTCATAGCTAGACATTGTCCACATATCGACTCCGTCCAAAGACTTCTTTCGCAATCTGGCTCCTAGATAGCTCTCTGGAGGTTCAATCTTCCCTTTCTTGAATTTAAACGACCTTCAGATTCCTTCCATTTCTTCTTTGGCTTTCATTGACATACATAGTATGTCATCAACATAACATAGGATGTATTTATAATACTCCTCCCCATCAGGTTTAACAGCAGCCCTCATCCAAACATCAGGATTGGCAGTGGACGACCAGAAGCTCAATTCCTCCAATGTCTCTGCCAGATGTGACGTGAATGCCGCTTATGGTCCTTTTAGACCATATAATGCCCTTCTTACAATGAAAACTTTGCCTTCTTCGTCCCCAAACTTGGGTCCTGCTACCATGTAGCACTTTTCGATTGCTGGTGCAGTGAGGAAATCGTTCTGTATGTCCGCACACTGCAAGTCTAATCCGTTTAGCGCTGCTATCATGAGTAGTATCCAAACTGAATCACAAGATCCTACAGTGCTGTAGGTCAATGCTGCTGGTGCTTCAGTCTTGTGGAAGTTTTCTCCCAATTTCACATCAAATACCAAGTGTCCCATGATTTTCTTGTATCCCGTCAGCTTCTCTACGTCTCCATTGAATTCTTCAAAGGCTATTTGGTTGTTCTTCATTTCCATTTGGATCGAATCCTGCCATAAGGTGTCCCCATTCCCTTTGTCGATTTTGATGGCTTCTCTAATTGATTTTGGGATACGTATCCCCTACTTGTGCACACGTTCCCAGTACTTTGATTTCACTTTGCCAAGGATTTGTGTGCGTTTTCGAACAAAGTGTGGTACCCACCACGCAAAGGCGGGTTTGTCTTGAATGCCCTTGCTTATTGCATAGTCTGCTATTTCAATTGGGAAGTACTCTTTCATGTCTTTCAAAGGTATCCAGTTTGAGGAATATTCAACTTCGTATTGCCTTGTGTCTAGTAACTGGTTGTTGCTTGCCACACCGATTGGGTTTCCTTCTACATCAACAATTCGCCTATGTACAACGGCACGTTAGTTCCCTTTCTTGGCCTTGCCTTAAACCAATTTCCATGTTGACATAGTTTTGTGCGTTGATGTTGTCTGTTTCTGTAGTCCCCTGGAGCATGCCATCGTCAACGTCCTCAGCCTCAATCAACTTGTTGAAACTGCATTTGAATTTGGCGTCTTGATTGGGTGGCCACTGTTTGGTAATGTCCAATACGTCATCATTGGACCTGTTTGGTGTGACACTCCCAACCATCTACCAATCCCATTTGTCCCTGGCAGGATGACGGATCGAGTTCCTCTTTGGAGTGTCGATCTCAAAGTGGCTCGTGCTCTGTTCAATCCAATACCTAGTTGTTCCAATAGATTTTCTGCCGTTGCCTTGGTATGTCGTTCAGTGGATACAAATGATGGCCTTACTGGTTTGTTTCCTGTTTATGCCATTTGTTGCAAGAATCTTTCCCCATTGGCAATCGCGGTTTGGACAGTGCGCCATTCGTTCATCCCTTGCATTATGGGATCTAAGTGTCTCAGTTCTGCCTGGTTGGATCTTGGATTGTCTACATGGTCCTCAGTGTCTTCGTAGGCTGCGGAGACCTTACCAAGCTGGACAGTTCCTGGGTTCCACGGCACCTTGCTCGTCATATTGACATGGAGACAGGTTGCAAGTTCTTGTTCAGTTGGCGCCCACAAATCAAAAAGTAACTTTGTGCCTTTTGCCTTTAATGCTATGAATATCTTTTTGGATTCAATTCCAACATGTCTTGTTTTGTCAAAACACAATAGGGACGTTCGTCGGTGGTAATGCTGGGTCGTACGCATATACATCTGCTGATCTTGGTGAGTAACTCATGATCACAAAGTTCTTGCCAAGGCAACAAGTGTTGGCATTGGTGCCCATTTCATTACTCGCCAGCGTTCCTACCGCGGATCATGGTGATGATCCACCTGCCTGTTGGTTGCAACCGCTTGCTTGTCCGCCCATTACGGAAGTTCCACTAGTCCCAATGATCACCTGTGATATCCGTGTAGCTGATTCTCCCGTTTCATCAGCCCCAGGGACGTTGTTTGATCTGAGTGACGCTATCTCTGCTCTTAATTCAGACAGTTATGTTTCCGTGGTGGTCTGTCGCGTTTGTCTTGCCAGCATTCCTTGACGTGCACAATATGTAGCCCTTTCATTTGACATGCGTTCTCATTGGGAATCAGTCATTGCCCGTAGCTGATCCCGGGGGAAGTGATAACTTGGGTGGTACCAGATCTTCTCCCCGTTGCTCAGGGTCTTCCTCCTCTGTTTTGGCTCCTGCTCCTGTTGTCGCTTCGCCTCTTCCTATTGTTACTAGCTCAAGCCTTGCCCAAGTGTTGTCCCCTGTCAGTTGCATTATTGGTTCTTTGGGGAAACTTTTCCCTCACTGCAGTTTGGTAGATATGTAATGCCGTCATGGAATTCATCACCATTGGGCATTTGCCAATTTCCGTATCAATCGCCGTCTTGTTCAGTTGTAGAAACGATGCAGTAACCTTGCAGGCTACGTAGTTTCATTGCCTCCAAATGTACTACTCTCCCCTCATGTTTGTCGCATGCTGCGTATGCTTTCTTCAGCATGCGTTCAAACATGGCCCAGTTCATCGTAGGCTTTTCTCCCACATAGCATAGGTTCTTGATGGTGTGTCCGGCCTCAACAATGTTGTGGGCTAGGAGTCCTTCTCCTTTGTAGTGGGTGCGTAGGGTGGTAAATGCATCTCTTCCCTTGCCTTCAACATCAATGGATCGTTCAGGCATCAATCGAATTTGCCCTTGTGCAGCAGTCATTCCTGCTAGGGTTTTGAGTTCATCGTTAAGTTTGTCAATGGATACATCCATTGTAGTGCTAAAATCATCAGAGAATATTTCATAAGCGATTCTCTCAGCGTGCGTATGTCCTTGGAATAGGGTTGCATCGTTAATGCCACAGATGACCATATTGTCATGAACAGTGAAGAGGGCTAGGGTTGGCGGCCATGTAGCCTATATCAATGTCATACATCGTATTGTTAGTTAAAGTTTTCGTTTTCAGTGTGTTAAAGGCTACAGTTTTTGTTGGTGTTGCGGCACCCATCAGCAGTTTTTGTTGGTGTTGCAGCACCCATCAAAGCAATTTTTGTTGGTGTTGCAGCACCCATCAAAGCAGTTTTTGTTGGTGTTGCGGCACCCATCAAAGCAGTTTTTGTTGGTGTTGTGGCACCCATCAAAGCAGTTTTTGTTGGTGTTGCAGCACCCATCAAAGCAGTTTGTGTTGGTGTTGCGGCACCCATCACGGCGTTACATCACCAGATATTGCAGTTTTCGTTGGTGTTGCGGCACCCATTCATTATTACATTTGCCATTGGTGTTGTGTCACCCATCATAGCGTTTGTAGTACGCTCAATGCCGTTTGTTGTCGTTGTAGTTTTCATTTTTTCATTTTCATTTTCATTTTCATTTTTGTTCGTTGAATAACTTTCAGCAGTTATTGCTGGATCTGATAAACCATGTAAATATTATCGTTACGGCGAAACAATGTTGTTGATTTACACAGTAGTAGCTATGATAGACGGTAGACAGTATTGTAACCAAACGTTTTCTTAGAAAGAGTGTGTTCATCGTTCATCGACAACTTTTGTATGCAGCCCATTCATCCTTACTACTCACAGACCGCTTACAATCATTCACAATCGTATCAGTAGGACGCATCTCGCATCCTATAGCACAGTCACCTTTATTTGTGGGGCCATGTCAATCAATATCTGGACCATCACGATCTTCTCCTTCCTTACCTTCAGGCATTTACTATATCTCTACCTTCATGCTTCTTGCAAAGCAGTTGGACTTAGGGTTCCATCGCCTTGTTATACTAGGCGACCTTTAATCATCTTTTCAAATTGCTTCTCTGCGAGAAACATCATCGCTGATTGGGCCTTCTTTTGCTCAGACGCGGTCATGTCTTTAACAAATTTGGGAGTGAAACAATCTCTCAGGAGCATTTGTCTCAATTCCTTATCCACAGGATCCTTTCCATCATCACCAAACTTCTTCAGTCCTTGATTGATGTGGTACTGTTGGATGAAGTTCAGACCTTTGTCAGTATCGAACTTGGCCTTGATCTGCATCATGCAATGAGCGATCATTATAGCGTCGTACTCTTCATAATCAGCTTTCATCTCATTCCCAATCTGTTGGAAACATAGATTGTGCTGTGCTTCAAGGATAGCTTTACTTTCTTTAGTACTGCAACTTCCTTCTTTGGTATGAATACCAGATTTTAACTCGTTCTTCAACGGTTTCAATTCCCTCTCTTGATGCTTTTTTCTTGTTGCAACTCAATTCTTGCTCTTATTGGCAGAAATGCCACTCCTGCTTGAAGGCCATTCTCTTGGTTTCCTTGGAACTTGAGAAAGGTTCAGCCCAGACATTGCACCTTGAGCATACGGTTGCCCAGATTGAGTGACTTTTGCTACTTGAGGCGTTTCTTCAGGCTCAAATACAATCTCCTCTTCTGGCGGCTCCTGTAGGTCCTCCAGATCAGTAACAAGGCTCCCAATATTATAATAATAAATCTGATGCATTAATCATGTTAAAACTATCTCAAGTTTCTAGATTGCCGTTAACAGCTGTCATGGCCATTTACCATACGGAGGTGAGTCCAGTACTGTTGAACCAGTTTGAGGCATCCAATCCCAAGGAAGTTGCTCTATCAAATAGATGTATGTACCCTACCTATGGGTATATTATTCAAACGATCTTGCCACTCAACGCGGCGTATTTTTATGTTGTTTTCTGTGTTTTTTGTGTGTGTTGTGCTGCCTGTATTGAAGCTTGATTGGGCCTTGTGTTCTTGCTCCCTTCTGCCATGAGTATATCGATCCAAATGAATGGAGAGCGTCTCATGAGCACAGTGTTCCAGAACATTGTGGTTGTTACAAGCATCAAAAGGCGGCTGGTTGTAGTCTAAGGAGAAGCAAAGAGGGTCAGAGCCAGTAGGTTGTGTCCTGGCATGGTGAAGCCGCAGATAAGTGGTGAATTGCCTGAATATAGGAGGGAAGAATGCCAACATTTGAACATCCATGAAGAGAAATCAAATTGAGGTATCTGCCAATCGACAGGACAATGAAGGAACCGATAGCAATTGTTTTACAATAGGTCCTTGCCAAGGGTTGGATTGTTGCAAGGAGTCGGAACAGGAGAGGGCATCAAATTGGCAGAACATATTATGATCGTCAAAAGGGACACATGCTCCCAAGGTCCGGCCGTCTCAGCAAGCCTTGATACCTTACAAGGCGTTGCAGGGCTTCCATGCTTCCAAAGAGGGGCCTCACGTCTGTCAACAATTCCATTCTTGCCACCAAAGGTAAAAAAGGAGAAAAGCTGTTGGGCCATTTTATCAGGCTTCTGGAAAGGGATATCCTCCTCAGTATCTTGGAGAACCACCATTGGAATGGATAGTGCGCTTGTGCTGGAGGCCTTTTCAGTCGCCATGTCACCGTCATCATCGTAAACTGTTTTGGCTTGGCTTTTTTGCAAAAAACTGATGCGACCCTGAGTAAGAGCAGTAGAATTAACACGTTTAGCAGCGATTGCCACTTTCTTGTTGTTCTTTGACTTTCCCATTGTCAGTTTTGATGCAAAAAGGAGCAGCGAGTTTTGTTTTGCTACAGAAAAATCGTGTAGGCGAAGTACCAAAAGTGATGTTTTGAGGACCCGGATATGCCTGTTGTTTTTGTATTTTTGTATTTTCGGAATATAGACAGACTGCTACCAAAGACCCAATGGAAGAATCAGGATCAATATGTTGACTATGGGAAGAAGCTCAATCTTAATCAGATTGGAGCAACTATCCCAGCTACTGTTCCAGCTATAGTTCCTGGAGCTTCAGCGTCCACAAGTGGAGCATCAAGTGTTGCGGGAAGCGTAAAACACCTTTGTGACTTGCTGGTACTACAGGTAATCAAATGATGCAAGTTCCTTCTGGAATGCAGCTCATTCAGATTCCAACTCAAGGTGGCGGCACTGTTACTGTCCCTTATTCTTTGAATGCTAACGGTGAGATTGCGTTCAGTGGAATGCAGCTCAGCCAACAAGGCTTCAGTGGTGCTCAAGTGCGCCAAGGATTCGATGCAATTCAAGCTCAAACTCCGCAAGCTGTGAAAACTGGATATTTTGATATGTCAAATGTTTTTCACGATGCTATCAAGGAAAAGGATGAGAATGGCAATGATGTCTATCTTATTCCATGTCCTACTGGTACGACAAATGTCAAACTTCAAGCCGACTGGCACTATGCTAGTGAAGATGAAGATTTGCCTGATCTTGCTACTGAAGCAAATCAAGGTCTGCAGTTTATTCAAAGCCGCAGAAAGGAAAGAGATCCATTTGGGTTGTACGATCATGTCATCATGGACAGTGGTTGTACAAACACCACCATTTGTAATGGTGAGCTCATGCATGGACTCCGTCATGCTGAGAAAGAACTTGACATGCACACTAAAGTGGGCAGCAGAGTTCTCGACAAAGAAGGTTTTCTAGGGAGATTTCCACCTCCAGTTTATCACGATGAAGATGGAATTGCCAATGTACTTGCTATGCGCGAGATGATTGCTGCGGGATACCATATTATTATGGATACTGATGCTGACAATGCTTTTATTGTGCATTGTGATGGAAACAGAAAGATGCGATTTGTGAATTGTAAGGGTGTATATGTGTTGGAGCAACTTGGAGCGAAAGTCAAACCAGGTGCCAAAGAGACAAGTGGGATGTACCGTCGCCAGTTAAGCAACTTAAATAATCAACCCCATTCAAACAAACAGAATGGATATGCTGGACTCGAGATGACCTCCAAGATGGCAACCGCTCGAAAGAACAAGGAAGGATTCACTCCAAGACAAGTCAGGGCTGCGATGGAAGCGAGAAGTGCAATGCACATACTCAATGCTCCAAGCACCAAAAGTCTGAAGTATGTGATCCGATCTGGTCTCATCAAAAACTGTCCTATCACCAAAGAAGCGATCAATCATGCCAAAGCAATCTTTGGACCTGACGCCTCTACATTGAAAAGCAAGTCAACAAGACCAACTCCGAAGAAGACGTACGATGACTTCTTCAGTCCACCAGAGAAATTATATCAGCACAATCGATCTATTACCGTCTGTATTCATCACATGGAGATCAAGAATGCTAAGTTTCTCACCTGCATTGATACCACTGTGCGTTATCGCTCATGTATTTCCGTGCAGAACCTGAAAACTGACCCTGTATTTGAAGCATTGGATAAGTAAGATATTCCGCCGCTACAACAAGGCAGGCTTTCAAGTCAAGATCATCAAGTGTGATTGGGCGTTCATTCCTCTCACAGATGATATGCTAGACGATATGGGTGTTACTATTGACCCGACTGCAGCTGGAGACCACGAGCCTACCGCTGAGCGAAACAATAGGACGCTGAAAGAAAGAGTCAGAGTAGTTCTTGCACGATTACCCTACAAAGTGGTCCCAAAAGTGATCACTGAATGTCTTGGACGTCGAGCCGCCGAGCTATTGAATGTCTTTCCCCAGAAAGACAGTATCTCATCACATTTCAGTCCGCAGCAACTCATTGATATTGTCAATATCAACTACAAGAGTGACATGGTTGCTGAACTTGGACAAAATGTTCATGCAATTGGGACAGATTCCAACAATTAGATGGAACCCCGAGGTATCGAAGCAATTTACATTGAACCTACAAAGGGACAATGTAGTGCGCACCAAGTGCTCAACCTCAATACTAAGAAGATGATTTCCCGACCCAAGGTCGTTGTACTACCCGTTACCGATCAAGTAATCCAGCGTGTTGAAGCTTGGGCTGCTGCCAAAGGTGTTACTTCCATGAAGTTCTTCGATAAGAAGAGAGATTTGGAGACATTTCAAGATGGCGATCAAATTGCAGGAGTGGATGACACGGAACAAGGTTACTTAGAAGAAGCCTTTGATCAGGACTATGAACCTGAAGATGAAGATGAACGTGATTTCAATCTACGTGGACAATTCGATGATATCGATGACTCCGAAAGAGAAGAGCTCTTGGCAGATGCAGACAATGATGTTGATGATATGCCGGAACTCACTGTCAGATTCCAAGGAGATGATGACTATGAATCAGACGACGATTCGGGTGATGAAGGCGATGAAGAGGAAGAACCTATTGTGGCCGATTTGGATCACCATCAAGAAAATGTCGATAGAGGGACCGATGATATTGGGAGCCTCGTTACTGATCTGGAGGACCTACAAGAGCCGCCAGAAGAAGAGATTGTATTTGAGCCTGAAGAGCCTCAAGTAGCAAAAGTCACTCAATCTGGGCAAACGTATGCGCAAGCTGCAAAGTCTGGGCTGAACCTTTCTCAAGTTCCAAAGAAACCAAGAGAATGGCCTTTGAGCAGGAGTGGCAGTTCTGCCAATAAGAACAAGAATCGAGTTGCGACAAGACGCAAGCATCAAGAAAGAGAATTGAAACCGTTGAAGAACGAGTTAAAATCTGGTATTTGTACCAAGGAAGGAAGTTGCAGTACTAAAGAAAGTAAAGCTATCCTTGAAGCACAGCACAATCTATGTTTCCAACAGATTGGGAATGAGATGAAAGCTGATTATGAAGAGTACGACGCTACAATGATCGCTCATTGCATGATGCAGATCAAGGCCAAGTTCGATACTGACAAAGGTCTGAACTTCATTCAACAGTATTACAGAAATCAAGGACAGAAGAAATTTGGTGATGATGGAAAGGATGCTGTGAATAAGGAATTGAGACAAATGCTCCTAAAAGATAGTTTCACTCCCAAATTTGTTAAAGATATGAGCGCTTCTGAGCGAAAGAAGGCTCAATCAGCAATGATGTTTCTCTCAGAGAAGCAATTTGAAAAGACGATTAAAGGTCGCCTAGTATTCCAAGGCGATGGAACCTACAGAGTCTGATTGGAAGAAGTGTGTTCGCATGATGCGATATTTGTTTTGTACATCGTTGTATCACCTGACACTTGCCGCCAAATCACTCAAGTCATGAAATGGATGATCGACGCATCATTTGCGGTGCATCCAGATTTCAAGAGCCATACTGGCGGCACTCTGTCCTTTGGAGGAGGTGCAGCTCAAGTGATGTCAAAGAAGCAAAACTAAACAGCAGAAGCAGTATGGAAGCGGAACTGATTGCTGTTGAAAATGTTGTCACGATGATACTATGGACAAAGTTGTTCATGGAGTGGCAAGGGTATCCGATCGAGAAGAATATCTTGTATCAGGATAATAAAAGCGCCATTCTACTGGAAGAGAATGGTCGCAAGTGCGCGGGCAAAAGAAGCCGAGCTATCAATATTTGTTATTTCTTTATCACAGATCAATTTGAGAAAGGAAATGTTAAGGTCGAATACTGTCCAACTGACGATATGATTGCGGATTTCATGACTAAGCCATTGCAAGGTGAGAAGTTTCGCAAGTTCAGGGATCTGATTCTTGGTCCACAGGACTAGGTCAGGCAAGCATGTATATGTTCAAAAGAAAATACAAAACAAAATAAACAGTGAATGAGAGCATGTCCCATTGCTGCCAATGGTGATTGTCACAATGGCAGGAGTGTGTTGGGATATGACAAAATCTGAGTTTTTACGTTCCAAAAAGAAACTATTCAAGTACAAAGTTTTCAACACGTACGATCGGACTTTGATCATGATGTTGGGATCCCATGCAAGTATGCCGGACGCAAGTCTGTCGGACAATCTATATCCACACAAAAAGGGAATGACCCTATACAAGTGAGATATCGATGTTGTGTACAATGCAGTAGGGAATAGCACAAGATGTCCCAAAGTACTGCATTCAACACAAAAAATGTCGTAGTGGTCGAATCAAGTTCTGTAAACAAGGGATTTTCCAAGGGAAAATAGTTGAACTTACTTTTGTGTTTTAATCATCAATTCAAGCCAAACATTAATCAAATAGGAATAATTTCACTCAAAGTATACCTAGACACAGGAGAACTATTGTTGTGAAAGTGTTGTACAGTCGATTACAAATTTAGATTGGAGAGAGTTTGTTCTGAGCGCTAAAGGCACTCACGATAGAGCACATTTTGCTTTATTCCAACAACCCAAATCTCGCCTGGTTTCTTTCCAATTGCAAAGTTGAGCAAGTTTCACCACTGGACTGGGACAAATCCTGTAGCAAAAGGGATGGAGCAAAAGAGCGTGTCGCAGCAGGCCAGCAAGTTGGATGCTACTCCCACTTTGAAATGGCCATTATGCAAGCCGTGTGGCTCTGAACCTTTGTGTTCCCCCATCTTACGCCAGAAGCTAACATGTCCTCCAGGTCCACTTCCAGTGGCTCGTCGGCAATGGTCCAGGAATGACATCAGGTAAGGATCCGCTGTCTCGGCATCATAGAGACCCCGGAGCAGCGCTTGGCTGTTCCTTTTGGCATTGGGGCCATTGAAGTCGGAGTACAAAGGTGCAGTCATGGGTGGAGTGGGGTAGGGGTAGCGGGTCTGGTCATACTGGAGCCGGTTCTCTTGCATGCAGCCTTCTTCTACAATACATTTAGACTGGCATGTTACCCAATGGGAGGTACCATCCTGTGCCACCTGGGCCACTTTGATCTGCTGGAGGCCGCCAGAGAAGCCTTTGCCTTGAGCTTTCCGTTGCCGTCGGGTCTCTTCTTTTTGTGCCATCTGCTGGACTCGAGTCCGTCTGATGCGAGCTTTGATGTTGCCCTTCTTTGTTCTCCGGACCGCTGCCAATCGGATCTCCAGATATTCAAGACGCCACTGATGGGCACGCTTCCGCTTGGCCTCTTTGTAGGCTTGATGTTCAAGGTACCACTTTGCCTGTAGGTCAGCTTCTGATAATTTCCATGCATCGGTCAGCCCAATCTTCTTCAACAAACGCCTGACCTTCCGTGAACTAGTTCTGACCTGTTTATGGCCCAAGATCAGGAGCTGGTAAAGGTGCAGCCTATCCCATTTCTGCTGCATTTGTGGTGACCAGTGAACCTTACCCATCGACAGTTTCCGGTAGTTGCGCTCAGCCTTTCGGCGGATCTCATTGCCCTGACGATGAATGGTGTTGAATCGAGCTTGTTGATTTGACGTAAGGTAACCGTCCTGGACCAAAATATCCTCCGCTAATTGGGTCAAGCGTTGGGGAAGGCGGAAATGCCGGTAGCCCGCTTCCGCAGCCTTAATATAGCAGTCCACAGACCGACCATCAGCCAGTGTCAACCGACAAATCCAGTGTGAGCTTGTCATGGGGATCCATAGTCACCCCCTTGCTCAGCCAGTGATTCCGTTGGTAGTTCCAAACACTACCAGCATTGGTACCTTCCCTGTTCGGACAATATGCAGAGACCACCACAAGATCTAAAGGACCAGCCGGGGGGGCATCAGTCTGGGACTCCTGTTGTCGGATGTCCCTGCCCCGGATCTTGATCCATGAGAATCTGCCTAGCTCTGACTCATCTTTGCCGCCTGACTTTGCACGGCGCGCGACCTTGTGGAGTAATGTAGCAGAACATCCGCCCCATTGATGCGCCGGGGGAGTTGGAAACTCCTGGTGTTTGTAGTAAGACACTGAAGAGAAATGTCCCTGGTTAGTGAAGGACTTGACCCAATCAAACCACTTGTGTCCTCTGGGCACTGCTGACCATTGAAGGTTAAGTTCAGCCAACAGTGCAATGCCCACTCTCTCATCCGTCCAACACTTGAAGAGCCCTTTCTGTTTCTCATGTATCATAGTAAATGGAAGACCCTGAACATTTTGGAAAAGGACCCAGGTAACGCGAGGAGACTTCTGGCGTGAGTCATTGCCGAAGTAGTTACCGGGAGGGAGAGAGTTTAAATAAGCATCCAGCGAGGAGTGGGTCACCTGGCTGGATGTGTGTTGGTTGCGTAGACGCCGTCGGTCACAAATATACCATCAATGGGAGTATCCGTCGTCCGACTTTGGGTTGTCACTGGGTAAGGGTCCTGATGTTGGCGTAAAATGGCCTCCATCAGGCCTTCAGACCGCATCTCTTGGCGGAAGGAAGAGGGAGAGTTGTAGGAGACATCTTCGTTTGCATCTAACCCAAGGAGAATCTCGCACCCTTCCGCTTTCCATTGTTTGATCAGGTCCACCAAATCCAGTGTGAGCTTGTCACGGGGATCCATAGTCACCCCCTTGCTCAGCCAGTGATGCCGTTGGTAGTTCCAAACACTACCAGCATTGGTACCTTCCTTGTTCGGACGATATGCCGAGACCACCACAAGATCTAAAGGACCAGCAGGGGGCCCATCAGTCTGAGACTCCTGTTGTCGGATGTCCCTGCCCCGGATCTTGATCCATGAGAACCTGCCTAGCTCTGACTCATCTTTGCCGCCTGACTTTGCACGGCGCGCGACCTTGTGGAGTAATGTAGCAGAACATCCGCCCCATTGATGCGCCGAGGGAGTTGGAAACTCCTGGTGTTCATAGTAAGACACTGAAGAGAAATGTCCCTGGTTAGTGAAGGACTCGACCCAAAACCACTTGTGTCCTCTGGGCACTGCTGACCATTGAAGGTTAACTTCAGCCAGCAGTGCAATGCCCACTCTCTCATCCGTCCAACACTTGAAGAGCCCTTTCTGTTTCTCATGTGTCATAGGAAATGGAAGACCCTGAACATTTTGAAAAAGGACCCGGGTAACGCAAGGAGACTTCTGGCATGAGTCATCGCCAAAGTAGTTACCGGGAGGGAGAGAGCTTAAATAAGCATCCAGCAAGGAGTGGGCCACCTGGCTGGATGTGTGTTGGTTGCGTAGATTTCGACCTTGGCCTTCCGTCAAACGCCGCAACCTTGCATGACGGGACCGTTGGTGGTTAGGGACCACCGCCGGGGGGGCCACCCCCACTGTCAGCCGATGATGTTGCCTTGCTGGAGGAGGGGCTTGACGAACGGTGCTTGCCTGTGACCAATGCTTGTGCCGCCATTTTGGCCTCCAATTCAAGGATACAAGCATCCTTGGCAGCCTCCGCATCCTTAGCTTGAGCCAGTTTTTCCGCCACAGTCTCTAATTCCATGCAAAGGTCGTTGACATCCGCTTTCATGTTCTCCAATAGTGCTGCCATATTTGCCGCGCTGCCTACCGTAGCCCCGTCATCCATGTCCTTTGCAGCTGGCATCAAAAGGTCAATTGTGATGGTGCCCTCAAATTCCGTAGAAGCCTGCTTTGCCGCGAGGAGCTTCTCAATCCACTCATTATCATCCTTCTCCACTTGCTGGTCCAAATCAACGTCCCGCTCAAACTCCGAGATTGCACGATGTTGGCTTTGGTCCCAGGTCATAGCGTTGGTAACCGTACGATTGTAGTGGTCCAAGCAGAGCCAGGTGCGGCATGTCTTCCACTGGTGTTTCAGGTCCTGCCACAACTCAAGGTGAGAAATAAGGAAGGTCGCCAGGTTCTTGAGAACTTCCTGTGCCAATGAGGCAAACTTTTGGCGCACCACAAACACATAGAAGCCATCAATTGGGCCTGGTAGAATCATTTGGAAGAGACCGGCTGGGCCCTGGTTCAGTTCTGCATCCATTGTCGCCAGCCATGCGCTGCGATCAAATGCCTCAGTGACCAGGGGCTGCTCAGAAGCAGAAAGTTTTTCCCGAGCGGAAGACGCTGTAGGACGGTTGGTTGCTGCCTGGGGTGTAGACTTCAGTGCCGGAGTGGGCCGTGGAAGAGGGGTGGGGGGAGTAGCCTGAGGCGTCTCCGTAGGTTTCTCAAGAGGTTGCTTGGCCCGGTGATTCTTAGACCCCTTGCGACTGGAACGCTTGGTGGATGAGCCGGGTAGAGTTGGCTGAGCTGTGGTGGGGGCAGTTACACTTGGGTTGGTCGGTGGCAGTTCTGGAGGAGTAGAAGACACGGAAGGTGGCAATGGCAAGTCTGGAGTTTTGGCATCCAGTGTGGCTGGTTGTTCAGGCTGAGCAGGGGGAAGTTTCTTGACCGCTGGTATGCACTGAATGGCATAGAGGAATTGGAGGAGGGATTTGCCCTTGCCCTGTTTGCAGTACTTGGGAATGAAGACCTTGGTCAGCATGCCTTAGATAGGAAACAGTGGAGCCAGGGAGGTGCAGGTCTGGGAGGTAGTGTCATGGGTGTTGATGAGTTTCCCAATGATGCCATTCCACTGCCCCCCTGGATGGGCGAGGTCACCAAGGTGTCCCTTTGTAATTGCCCCCCAGTTGTAGACAAACTGAGTCCGGGCACCAAACGGCATCTGACACTTCTTTGTCTCTGGCCTGAGCCATGCAAAGAGGGCCCGTGCCACTCTATCCACGTCAGAAGCAGCTACCCAAATGTGCCACGCTTTTGGACCCTTGGAGGGCATCCATTTTTGGCCCGCCGTACCGAGGTTCTGAGGCCACGCAGGTTCTAGGGCTATAGCTCTCTTGAAGGTGAAGTGACGCATGAGCTCGCGTTCCAGTGCGGCTCTCCCAATCCCCATGGGGTAGTTCAGTAGCCAACCGATTCGGACAGGATCACTAACTTGCAGCGCGGAACAGAAGACTCCTGCATGCGTGCCGATGATCTCAAAACATTAACCCAGTAGTAGGGACATGTCATCCAGAGAAGAGTTGTGGGCGACGCCAATGCGGGTGCAAAGAGTCTTGGAGCCGGGGTTCTTAGCGTTGTAGCCAAATCGGGCGCCATTATTCCAGGACCAGTCAATGTAGGGCTTGAGCTTCTTGTAGGTGAGCTCATCCACCTTCTCCTTAGAGGTCAGCCACAACTTCTTGTCCCGTACACGGAGATCGCTCACCGGAAGAATGACCAAGTCGCCCTCAGCGTTGTCCATAGCCATAGACAGGACCAAGACCATTTCTTCAGTGAAACACTTTTCAATAGAACCACCCTCAGATGTATTGCCATCCCATTCATAGTTGATTGTAGCGCAGAGGAACTGGGCATTTGAGCGCGGAAGCCCAGTCAAATTCATCTGTGTCACTTTGCGGGCTTTCATTTCTTCAGTGAGGTACTTGGTCCAAATAGCAGCCTTCTTCTGTGAGGCGGCAACAGAAGTAAGTTGCTTCTTCACGGACAGAGGAGCTGAAGGTCAAGGAGGGTTGGGAGGCTCAGTCTTCGACAAGTGAGAGTCGATCAATACTGTTGCCGAGGGGTCGTTGGCCCGCTGAGCTGGGGCAGGTGACTTCCCCACAACCACTTCAGTAGGAGGTTGGTCCAAATTTGATGGTGAAGAAAAGTGTGGAGCCGACTCAACGGACTCTGACCCATCGTTGTCGGACCAATCAGCAAACTCGCCATTGACTGGTTTGTTGGTGGGGCTAATTACCGATGGACCCATTGTGTCCATCATCACCGAATCATCCTTGTTGGGGGCAACAGAGTCGCGAACTGATTTTGGGATGGCAGCTGGAAAGAACCCTCGTGCAGGAGAGCAAGGGTCAATTGAAGCTGGTTTTCGTTCCGTTGATGGGTCCAGATCACGCTCACGTTGCAGTACTAAAGACAGTAAAGCTATCCTTGAAGCACAGCACAATCTATGTTTCCAACAGATTGGGAATGAGATGAAAGCTGATTATGAAGTGTACGACGCTACAATGATCGCTCATTGCATGATGCAGATCAAGGCCAAGTTCGATACTGATGAAGGTCTGAACTTCATTCAACAGTATTACAGAAATCAAGGACAGAAGAAATTTGGTGATGATGGAAAGGATGCTGTGAATAAGGAATTGAGACAAATGCTCCTGAGAGATCGTTTTACTCCCAAATTTGTTAAAGACAAGAGCGCTTCTGAGCGAAAGAAGGCCCAATCAGCGATGATGTTACTTGCAGAGAAGCAATTCGAAAAGATGATTAAAGGTCGCCTAGTATTCCAAGGCGATGGAACTCGTGAATGGTTATCGCGAGAGGACACTGCAAGTCCAACTGCCTTGCAGGAAGCAATCACCACTACTTGTGTTATTGATGCACACAAAGGTAGAGATATAATGACAATGGACGTGCCTAACGCTTTCATTCAAACTTATATGCCTGAAGCTAAGGAAGGAGAAGATCGTATCTACATGAAAATCACTGCCATGATGGTCCAGATATTGATTGACATGGCCCCAGAGTATCGCAAATACGTTGTATTAGAGAACGAAAACCGAGCAATCTATGTGCGGGTACTATGTGCTATATATGGGATGTTGCAATCGAGCCTCCTATTCTATAATCAGTTTTGAAGTGATTTGGAGGCAAAGGGATTTGTTTTCAATCCGTATGACCCGTGTGTTGCTAACAAAGTTGTTAATGAAAAGCAGCAAACTATCAGATTTCATGTTGAGGATCTTATGTCAAGTCACATGGATCCAAAAGTAAATGACAAAATTTGCTATGTGGTTGAACATGAGATATGGTTCAATCAAGGCATGTACAATTGTCAGAAGAAAGATACACAGATATCTTGGAATGACTTTGGATTTCTTGGTGAAAGGAAAATTTTCCTATCAAGTTCAACAAGGATTCAAAGCAGGAAACACCTGCTGGTAACGATTTACTGGAAGCTGGTAAAGGGAAGTTACTCAGTGCTGAGTACCGTCAGATCTTCCATACTACTGTTGCAAGGGGGCTTTATGTCTCTAAGAGAGCTTGTTTGGATATCCATCCGACGGTAACTATTCTTGCCTCAAGGGTTTGAGATCCTACAGAGTCTGATTGGAAGAAGTGTGTTCGCATGATGCAATATTTGTTTTGTACATCGTTGTATCACCTGACACTTGCCGCCAAATCACTACAAGTCATGAAATGGATGATCGACGCATCATTTGCGGTGCATCCAGATCTCAAGAGCCATACTGGCGGCACTCTGTCCTTTGGAGGAGGTGCAGCTCAAGTGATGTCAAAGAAGCAAAAGCTAAACAGCAGAAGCAGTATGGAAGCGGAACTGATTGCTGTTGAAAATGTTGTCACGATGATATTATGGAAGTTCAGCAACAATGTCACTCTAGTAGTTGATATTGACATTATCAATGAACTGCTGCGGACTGAAATGTGATGAGATACTGTGTTTCTGGGGAAAGACATTCAATAGCTTGGCGTCTTGACGACCAAGACATTCAGACGCATCTACATTGAAAAGCAAGTCAACAAGACCAAGTCCAAAGAAGACACACGATGACTTCTTTGAATCCTTCCTTATTCTTTCGAACAGTTGCCATCTTGGAGGTCATCTCCAGTCCAGCATATCCATTCTGTTTGTTTGAAGAAAGTTCGAAATGAGGTTGATTTTTTAAGTTATTTAACTGGCCACTTTACATTGCACTTGTCTCTTTGGCACCTGGTTCAACATTCGCTCCAAGTTGCTCCAACATATACACACCCTTGCAATTCACAAATTGCATCTTCCTGTCTCCATCATAATGCACAATAATGTCATTGTCAGCATCACTATCCATAGTAGCGCGGTATTCCGCAGCAATCATTAAATCCTTGGTGGCCAAGTTGCATTCCGCTGAACGCAATTTCACCATTAGCATTCATAGAATAAGCGACAGTAACAGTGCCGCCACCTCAAGTCGGAATCTGCATGAGCTGCATTCCCAAAGGAACTTGCATCATCTGATTACCTGTAGTACCAGCAAGTTGCAATGATGTGTTAACGCTTCCCGCAACACTTGATGCTCCACTTGTGGATGCTGAAGTTCCAGGAACTATAGCTGGAACATTAGCTGGGACAGTTGCTCCAATCTGATTAAGATTTTCTTTCTTTATCATTGCCATTCTTATCCTTTCCCTTGATAGCATCGTGGAAGACATTTGACGTATCGTAATAGCCAGTCTTCACAACCTGCGGAGTTCAAGCTTGAGTTGCATCAAATCCTTGGCGCACTTGAGCACCACTGAAGCCTTGTTGGCTGAGTTGCATTCCACTGAACGCAATCTCAACGTTAGCATTCATAGAATAAGTGACAGTAACGGTGCTGCCACCTTGAGTTGGAGTCCGCATGAGCTGCATTCCCAAAGGAACTTGCATCATCTTATTACCTGTAGTACCAGCAAGTCGCAATGGTGTGTTAACGCTTCCCGCAACACTTGATGCTCCACTTGGGGATGCTGAAGTTCCAGGAACTATAGCTGGAACATTAGCTGGGACAGTTGCTCCAATCTGATTAAGATTTTCTTTCTTTATCATTGCCATTCTCATCCTTTCCCTTGATAGCATCGTGGAAGACATTTGACGTATCGTAATAGCCAGTCTTCACAACCTGCGGAGTTCAAGCTTGAGTTGCATCAAATCCTTGGCGCACTTGAGCACCACTGAAGCCTTGTTGGCTGAGTTGCATTCCACTGAACGCAATCTCAACGTTAGCATTCATAGAATAAGTGACAGTAACGGTGCTGCCACCTTGAGTTGGAGTCCGCATGAGCTGCATTCCCAAAGGAACTTGCATCATCTTATTACCTGTAGTACCAGCAAGTCGCAATGGTGTGTTAACGCTTCCCGCAACACTTGATGCTCCACTTGTGGATGCTGAAGCTCCAGGAACTATAGCTGGAACGTTAGCTGGGACAGTGGCTCCAATCTGATTAAGATTGAGCTTCTTCCCATAGTCGACATTTTGATCCTGATTCTTCCTTTGGGTTTTTGGTAGCAGTCTGTCTGGGCACTTTGGAGACATATGGTCTTTGTTGCTGCCTTCTTTCCATCCTTCGGTTTCCCCTTGCCTTTACCTTTACCTTTATTAGGTTGGTCTTTTCCTTGGTAGAGGTTCACTCCCGGATTTTTAATCACATCCATGTGAATCTTCAACATATCTTGTGCTTGCTGACCGCCTTTTGAAAGGAATCCACTTCCCTGCAATAGTTCGTCTGAAGATCCAGCATCAGAGGAGCTGTTCTTGTTTGATGGCAGTTGCACAGAAATCCTGTTGCAAGAACGGCTTCAAAGATATCATCCTTGAACTTGTCTTGAGCAGCAGTATCGGTGCTAGCAATAGCAGCATACTGCAAAATTTTGGAACCAGTCAATGCCATATAGATCTTGTAGGACTTCAGCCTGTCTCAAGAATCGTTCCTTGAAATGCATCAAGTTTTCCGTTGTTCCTTGCTTCATAGCAAAGAACTTTTGATTTGCTTCCCAGAAATCCAAGAAATCATACTCAGCATCAGCACTCTTCTTCATGAATCGTTCAATATATTTCAAGAGTTTGATTGGATCTTCAAGAGTAGTCGTGAAATTGGCTTCACCTCAAAGCTTGATATCCATCGCCTTTGTCACAAACTTCAGCATGATGTTTGATTTGATGGTTCTCTTGTTTGTCTTGAAGTAGGCTGATCTTCGCATGTTCTCGTCGAGCTTTGCAGAATAGAGAATCTTGTTTTGGGCCATCTCTGTTTCTCTTGCAACAGCTTCAGTTTGAGTTGGAGCGTTCAATCTTGGAGCGATCGCATTGAAGTCGATCGACTTTCCATCTCAAATTGATTTCACCATGTCTTTGGAACATTTCATTCCAGAAGCTTGGATATAGTCAATCACTCTTTCTTCCGCATGTTTGTACAACGATCTTGCCTTTCCATAGTTTTCATCTTTCGTTGAAAATAGATGTTTCACAACTGTTGAACTCAAATTGCTCTTGACTTTCTGAGGAGTCACACATCCTCTTCCAGCACCGGATGAAGAACGGGAATCACTCACTTCTTTGTAGATAAGGCAGTGCTGTTCTTGACATAAATTTATTTTGTTGCCTTTTGTGATTGAATGTTAAAATAAAGCAAAATGTGTTCTATTGTGAGTGCCTTTAGCGCTCAGAACAAACTCTCTGCAATCTCAATTTGTAATCGACTGTACAACACTTTCACAACAATAGTTCTCCTGTGTCTAGGTATACTTTGAGTGAAATTGTTCCTATTTGATTAATATTTGGCTTGAATTGATGATTCAATCACAAAAGTAATTTCAACTATTTTCCCTTGGAAAATCCCTTGTTCACAGAACTTGATTCGACCTCTACGACATTTTTGTGTTACAAGCAGTACTTTGGGACATCTTGTACTATTCCCTACTGCATTGTACACAACACCAATATTTCACTTGTATAGGGTCATTCCCTTTTTGTGTGGATATAGATTGTCCGACAGACTTGCGTCCGGCATACTTGCGTCGAATCCCGACATCACGATCAAAGTGCCAGTTGGCTTGAAGTTTGACATTTGTTGTACCAGCAGGACATGGAATAAGATAGACAGCATTGCCATTCTCATCCTTTCCCTTGATAGCATTGTGGAAGACATTTGACGTATCGTAATAGCCAGTCTTCACAACCTGCAGAGTTCAAGCTTGAGTTGCATCGTATCCTTGGCGCACTTGAGCACCACTGAAGCCTTGTTGGCTGAGTTGCATTCCACTGAACGCAATCTCACCATTAGCATTCATAGAATAAGGGACAGTAACAGTGCCGCCACCTTGAGTTGGAATCTGCATGAGCTGCATTCCCAAAGGAACTTGCATCATCTTATTACCTGTAGTACCAGCAAGTCACAAAGGTATGTTAACGCTTCCCGCAACACTTGATGCTCCACTTGCGGATGTTGAAGCTCCAGGAACTATGGCAGGAACAGTAGCTGGGACAGTGGCTCCAATCTGATTAAGTTTGAGCTTCTTCCCATAGTCAACATATTGATCCTGATATATTTGAAGCCGTTCTGGCAACAGGATTTCTGTGTAACTGCGATTGAACAAGAACAGCTCCTCTGATGCTGGATCTTCAGACCAACTATTGCAGAGAAGTGGATTATTATCCAAAGACGGTCAGCAAAGCACAAGAAGATTCACATGGATGTGATTAAAAATCCGGGAGTGAACCTCTACCAAGGAAAGGACCAGCCTAATAAAGGTAAAGGTAAAGGTAAAGGTAAAGGTAAAGGTAAAGGCAAGGGGAAACCAAAGGATGGAAAGAAGGCAGCATGTTATGTATGTGGCAAAGAGGACCATATGTCTCCAAAGTGCCCAGTCAGACTGCTACCAAAGATCCAAGGGAAGAATCAGGATCAATATGTTGACTATGGGAAGAAGCTCAATCTTAATCAGATTGGAGCAACTGTCCCAGCTACTGTTCCTGCTATAGTTCCTGGAGCTTCAGCATCCACAAGTGGAGCATCAAGTGTTGCGGGAAGCGTTAACATACCTTTGTGACTCGCTGGTACTACAGGTAATCAAATGATGCAAGTTCCTTTGGGAATGCAGCTCATGCAGATTCCAACTCAAGGTGGCGGCACTGTTACTGTCCCTTATTCTATGAATGCTAATGGTGAGATTGCGTTCAGTGGAATGCAACTCAGCCAACAAGGCTTCAGTGGTGCTCAAGTGCGCCAAGGATTCGATGCAACTCAAGCTCAAACTCTGCAGGTTGTGAAGACTGGCTATTACGATACGTCAAATGTCTTCCACGATGCTATCAAGGGAAAGGATGAGAATGGCAATGCTGTCTATCTTATTCCATGTCCTGCTGGTACAACAAATGTCAAACTTCAAGCCAACTGGCACTATGCTAGTGAAGATGAAGATTTGCCTGATCTTGCTACTGAAGCAGATCAAGGTCTGCAGATTATTCAAAGCCGAAGAAAGGAAAGAGATCCATTTGGGTTGTACGATCATGTCATCATGGACAGTGGTTGTACAAACACCACCATTTGTAATGGTGAGCTGATGCATGGACTCCGTCATGCTGAGAAAGAACTTGAAATGCACACTAACGTGGGCAGCAGAGTTCTTGACAAAGAAGGTTTTCTTGGAAGATTTCCACCTCCAGTTTATCACGATGAAGATGGATTTGCCAATGTACTTGCTATGCGCGAGATGATTGCTGCGGGATACCATATTATTATGGATACTGATGCTGACAATGCTTTTACTGTGCATTGTGATGGAAACCGAAAGATGCGATTTGTGAATTGTAAGGGTGTATATGTGTTGGAGCAACTTGGAGCGAAAGTCAAACCAGGTGCCAAAGAGACAAGTGGGATGTACCGTCGCCAGTTAAGCAACTTAAATAATCAACCCCATTCAAACAAACAGAATGGATATGCTGGACTCGAGATGACCTCCAAGATGGCAACCGCTTGAAAGAACAAGGAAGGATTCACTCCAAGACAAGTCAAGGCTGCGATGGAAGCGAGAAGTGCAATGCACGTACTCAATGCTCCAAGCACCAAAAGTCTGAAGTATGCGATCCGATCTGGTCTCATCAAGAACTGTCCTATCACCGAAGAAGCGATCAATCATGCCAAAGCAATCTTTGGACCTGACGCCTCTACATTGAAAGGCAAGTCAACAAGACCAACTCCGAAGAAGACGTACGACGACTTCTTCAGTCCACCAGAGGAATTATATC